AGCTCAAAAGCATCCACTCTCCTTCTGTCCTCCCTAGTCACTGTCCAACTCTTTGATGCATAACAAGCGATTGCAAAGACCATAGTCTGTATCAGGAGCACCTTAGTCTCCAGAGAGATACCATTGCTCTTGAGTACTTTAGAGAGGTCCCTAACAGCAGACTTTGCTAAATGCATCAAGTTTCACTGTTTTTAACAACAGAGAAATCCTGTTCAATCTTCTAATAGCATTTAAAAATTTATGAGCTAAGAAGTATCTAAAATATACAAATCATTTACATAATGAGAAAAAAATGGAATTGTTCATATGCAAATAATAACAATGCTAGCTCAGAGTCTGCTATTAACTCAAAGCAGTACTACTAGTCTCAAATGTCTGACTGATAAATTCTATGAGAAAAGATATTTAGCTTCTCATTTAAGCCCAAATTGCTTAGGCAAATGGATGATTCCCTCCATGCATTTCCTTCAGGCTGGAACCATCTCAAAGCTGGTCCTCCAGAGTGTGAGGCCGTTAACAGCCCCTGGTGGAAGGGAACTTTCAGAGAGGCCCGGCCTGAGTCAGCTAGGCCATCCCCATAGGTCATGCCAGCAGAGCTCCCTGAACAGGTGACAGAGGTGGGAATACAGAGAAAACCAGGTTGCCAACTGTTTCTGCAGTATGAACCATGCAGTAAGCGTATTGCAACTCTCCAGATTAGGAGACAACTTTTATATATACAGATCCATACGTACTTCCAATGAGAATCATCTATAAAGACTCCACCTGTATTTGAAATAATTTAGACCATACAGAAACGGTTATTTATAGAAATATATAGAAACAGCTATACAACAAAAGTCTTGAGTTTGAGTAGGCTTACCTCTTCTGATCCTTCCTGGACGGGACAATATGTAAAATAGTTCCCAAAATACACGCCTTCTGATTTAAAAATAGATCCATCACCAGGATAAATTTCTATTGAGTTCATATTTTTGTGGGAAAGTCTAAGGAATAAAAAGAATTATTTTTCTGAGATTAAAAAAATGCATGAAGGTAGTTTTTAACAAAATAGTAAGATCTTTTGCTTACCCAGAGAAGCAGATACACACACACTCCCTTCCCTCACCTGCCAACTTTCTGTCAAAAGATAAACAGAGTAAACACGTATTTGGTTGTGTGAACCATTTTCACAACTCCAAGCCCCTGGACGTTGAGTGAGAGCTCGTCTTAGCATCTTCCACTGCCAATTACAGTCGCTAAAACACACCAGTTACCAAGGCATTCTACCGAGGATGAATAAAACCGTATTCTTTGAGAATGCCATAGACTCAATGACCAATAGAATGGAGCAGTCATCCGTAGAAGTCAGCCCCGAAAAGGTGTCCAGTAACAGCAGCAGGGCAGAGCAGATACAATCCAGGTGTCCACGCGACAACATGGAGTCGGTGCTGGCGCGCTGCGTTTCTGGGTCTGTACGTTTCTCGGCAGAACGTCCATCTTTCCCCCACGGAGACACTGGTGGACTCCAATGGCCAGAGACACGCCCTTTGCGTGAACAGTGCAACACACCATGGACTATGCCTCCGAGCTCCTGGACGTACATTATAATAAAAATCTAAGCCACACCAACTTTATTGAAACATGTATGAGGAACATATCCTTAGAAAGGAACGGGCCTTCATGCAGGAAAAAGCCCAAAGAACAAGCGTGCTTTTCTAGCATACTGTAGCACTGCTGTTAGGTGCCTCTGAAGGGACCCTATGAAGCCCCAGCAACCCTATCTCAACAGTGGATCTGAACCTGCACTTGTCCTGTGCCGACCTCATCGTCTGGGAAACACCTGAGCGCACTGCCACAGTTTCTAGTGTCAGTTTATCTCACAGAGGGTCTTCCTCTCTTTAGCTGATCCTTCACCTTTCCAGGCACGATGTTCCTCTCCAAGGAATAACCTCTCCTAGCAACATGCCCAGCGGACGGGAGATGAAGTTGCACCACCCTGTGAGGAGGACCTGGCTTTCTCTAAGACGGAGCGCTCTGTTCTTTTGTCTGAGCGAGTCAGCGCTCTCCTCCCACCACAGCCCATACGGCACTAGACAGGAGCACGCTGTTGTAGGGTCGGGATAAGAGAACAGAGGCACACAACAGCCACTCACTGAAAATCTGCTGCATAAATGAGATTCCCTTAAGGCTCCTGAATTCTGCTCTAACTCCATGCTCATTCAGGAACTGTCTGAGAACTAATCCAGACAGGGAGATCCTGTGACGCTCGCAGAGGGAATCTGAAGAGCTGAAGCAAATACTTCATTTGCCAGCAAAAGGGACTCTTCACAAACTTTGTTGCTTTCACATAATTCTTATGAACAGAGGACGCATGAGTTAGTCAGCAGTCCTCCACATTGACTTACCAAGTTTTGAGAACTAAACCCAGGACCAAGCATAGAAGCATCATGTTCCCTTGTGTGGACCCGTCTATGTGGTTCACGCTGTCCCCGGAGTGACCAACTGCATAGTGCTGTGTGTCTAACACCAGGGCCTTACCTATAGGTGATACCACTGGACCACACCACTTTCACTAGTTCAGGATAGGAGAAGTCCTCGTTAAACTGCCTGTGTGACCATGAATCACAGAAATTCCACCTGGGAAGGATAAATACAAGATATTTATTCTGCTTGTCCAACAAAATTACCTTCCAAAGTCAGCACAGTGTTATTGTAACAAGATGTATTTCTTTCTTAATGTTGTTATTATGTACTGTCCAGATGGAAATTACTCATAGTGACCTTCCAGTGGGTTTTCAAAAGCTGTAAATGGCACAGATTACTGTTTGCATTTTCCCTGAAAAGCAGCTGATGGATATGAATACCTTGCCTCTGGGTGGCAGAGCAACTCCTTAACCACCAGGCCACCAGAACTCTCTAAGTCTGATAATTTTATAAAAAGGAGGGGGGAAAGATAATTATTACTACAAGAGGGTGTTACAGGTATTTTTTTTAATTAGCTTTATTTTTCCAGGAGAGGAAGGCCCTCTATGAGGTGGATTGATTCAGTGACTGGG